TTACCCATTTTTTAAGACTCCTCTTTTCCTCCTTTCATAAGGCACTGTTGCTATGGCACTTTTCTATAACCTTTTCATTCCTGTGTACAGTAGCTTAAAATTGCAGTGATTGAGCATAACCCACCTGTTTGTATAAATTATTGAAAATCCATTTGCACCCTGTAAGAATGGACTGAAAGTACTGCTGAGCATGTGTGCTGAGAGTACACGGATTGCTCGACTGTAAGGAAATGGCCCAATGAACATGGTTGTGGGAGGGGAAAGAGGAAACAAAGCTAGTCAGATGTGAATTGTATCTGGTGTAATAAACATGTTAAAACAAGCAAAAATTGTTATTTTTCTTTTCCTTCGGTCAGTGCACATTAGAATTTGAACTACCTGAGGATTTTTTTATCAGAACTATTCTTGTTGAATATTTATGCTTAATGGAAGTAATTCCTAAAGGAACATTTTGTTTAAAACACATTAACAGGAAAGTGTATAAGATATTTAATGAAAATGAAATTCAACAAGAATGATTAAAGTCACTTCCCAAGTGGTTGTCATTTGTTAAACCCGGTTCACCTGTCTTGCTATTAGGACATTTCATTTTGAAGGATGTTTGTGTTGTAGCTAACTGTTCCAAGTCTGGTGCTGACTGCTGTTCTTAGCCATCACAAAACGCTAAATTTGTGTAATTGGGGCTTCCTGCTGTTATCTGGAAATGGTGGGAAAGCTCAGCTTTGTATATTGTTTCCTAAAGTATATTAAAATAAAAAAGAAACTATTGCTACTATAAAGTTACCTTGGCTTTTTTTTCCTTTGCTAAAAATACTAGTCATGTGGCTGCAGTGTGACGCTGCCATATTGTATCAAATGTTCTGTGTGCAGAAAAATCTTTGAGCTGCAAGCTTCTGACCTGTGATTTGCGGGCCTTTTTTGGTGCTTGTGGAGGCAGATGTGTGCTTCCAGCACTTCGGCACCATGGGTGTGGCCTCCATGGTTGTGTCATCGGTGTTACCTGGCTTTCAGATTGCTCTTAAAACAAGTTATCAGTCGGACTTTTCCGTAAACTTGAAAACGAAATTCAGCTGTTTTTGGTATTTTCTGAAATAGAAAAATGTTCAGTGTAATTGAGAGGGTTTTAAATCATACTAAAAGCTAAGGTTCTTCTTATGACTTAGCACTTTCAAAATGTAAGAAAAAACAAATGCCATGAATTCTATTGTAATGAAATGTTCATGCCTGTTGTTGCTATTTGCTGAACTTCATTAGTGCATGTAAATGAAACCCCAAAGAGCTGTTAAGTTAGAGCCCCTTACTGAGTCTTTCCTGAGAGCAACTGAGCAATCTTTAATTGACAGTTTGTGATTTAGGTAAATTTGAATTTGATTTGCTAATAGCTTATGACATACTTTTCCTTTATTTGAAAAATGTTTATATCCCTATGTAAATTAGTCCTATATACTGGGGAGAAGATGCCTAATTTGAATTTTCTTAGTGATTGAACTTTTAAACACTAAATTTTCTTGTGGAAATATTTTTACAATATTTGATCCACTTACTATTCTGTAGTTCTATAAATTATTTTAAATACTGGTACTTTACAATTCAGATACAATATCCAGCTCCTATGTAAAGTAACTAGGCGCTATGTATTAAAGTAGACACACACAGTGGGATATTCTTTAGTTGGCCCCCTGCCATGAAAAAGTTTGAGCATGTTCCTTGGTCCGGATAATCTGAAAATAGAAAAAGCCCTTGGGAATTTTAGGACTTCTTTGCTGTTTTAAAAAAGTGCCTTATGTTAAAACCTTAAGAACTGCAATAGTTTTAAAAAATACATATTTTGTGATGGGTCTGTTAGAAAATCTTTTTCTTCTGAAGAAACAGCTGCCCTGTCTTTCCCTTTTTATGTTTAGTAAAATTTGGGCTATAATTTCAGATTTAATATACACTGAAAATTCCAAACTCCAGCTTTTTTTCAAGACCTGCGCGCGCACACACACAGGTGCCAGGGATCAAACTCAGACTTTGCTCTTAAGTGCTGTGCCACTGAGCTACATCCCTGACAAAACATGTTCTTAATAGCCCAAGTGAATGGCGTTAAAGTCTTACCTCATGTGTTTCACGGTTGTAAAATCTTATGAATGAGTGGTTTAACACCTTACAAAGAATGGGTCATTCCTTCAAATGCATTTTTGTGGTCTTAGCTTTAAGGAATTTCTTCAGAGTTGAGCATGGGGCAGACAGTAATACACTCTGACTACCCTACTAGTCTTCTAGTTCAGGGCCTAAAGCTACTGTTTTTAGATGCTGGGTTTGAATATACATATTTCTTTTCAATACCTGTAAATACAGCTACATTGTATTTGTCCAAGTGTATAAAGTGACACTAAAAGTAATATGTTTTGATTAAACATGCAAAATTTGCATTTGCATAAGGAAGTTCAAAACACTAACTGCTTACTGATAAAATGTTAGTGGTTGTGTGTTAATAGTCTACAATGTCTTAACTCTTTTAATGAAGAGTTTGAGGGCTGAGAGTACAGCCCAGTGGTGGAAGGATCAGTGTGCATGAGGCCCTGGGTTGCACTGCCAGCCCACACCCAAGGCATGCACATTGCATGTTGTAGAGTGAGTGTGGGGTTGTACAGGTCCTTACTCTGATGTGTGCTCCTTTTCCTGGCCTCAACTGGTGGAGGAGTTCCCTCAAGTGCTGTCTGCCTAGGTGATACCATCCCGCTGGCCTGTGAAACAAGCATTACATCCAGATTGCCCCTTTTGAGTCCCCAGCAACCCTGGATTGTCATTACTGTGGCAAGTTCTCTAAAGAGCACTCTTGTGTTTCAGACTTGGTTCTCTGTTCAGTAACTGACATCATCATTTCCCTGGTGGTTCGAGACTCAAGCTTGCTTTTTTTCTTCTTACCCCACATTTAATCTGTTCCCAAGCCATCTCACACATGGATTTCAGATCTGAATGCTGTACCCTGCATCTACCGACCAGTTGTCAGCTAAACCACTGGGAACCCACTTGTTGTTCCTTTAAAGATCATCCTGGCTGGCCTGCATTGCCACACACACGCTTCGGGCTGCTGCCAAAGGGAAAGTGGAAGCCATGCTGCGACATGGCAAATGAGCCTTCAGTGATTCCAGGCTGAGGACAAACCCCAGTCTACCAAGGCTCACATCAGCCTCTGGATTTTCCCTCTGGCTCATCACAAGCCTGGGGCCTGTTTCCATCACTGGCCCATTAGTTTTCTTGAAGAGGATACCACCTGATAAACAGGAAGTACAATGAATGCTTTTTTCTTTTTGTATTAGTTTCTGTTATCAAACCCACATAGATAAGACTTTACATATTAAATAGTGTGGAAAAAAACTTCCTATACCAGTATGGCTGTTAATTTCTGCACAGTGCCGACTCTACAGTAAACTGGGTCAAACTTTTTCCAAAGTTGGCAGTTTTCAAAAATTCATATATATATAGGGGAGAGAGAGAACTAATAGTAGTGTGTTAGGCATCAATAGCAACAACAGCTTTTCCAGGTTCTGCAGTCATCTGAACAAAATTATAGAGACATCAAGCACATACCACTAAAAAAAACCCAGAAAACAGCAAAGTTCTGTTACTGTTGTACCTGACACCATTTTTAAATTAGATTCTTAATCATCATCTGGAGAGAGAACATTGTAGAAGTAAACAGTGAAAGCTCTGATACAGGGTCACTACTACTTACCAAAGCAGGTACGAGACATTTTACACTCCCAGAGCTACGATACAGTATTGTCCTACATCTGTCATACTAGAGGATAGCAAAAAGTCAGTATTTCAGATTGGATTCTACTCTTCCAGCAGAGGGCCCGCCCAAAAGATACGATGGCTCTGTAAAGAACGTGCTCTTTCACTAACAGCACGGTTTACTCTCTTCATGAACATCGGCTAAAAACCATTTTTTAAAAACCTGGGTAGCCACAAAACAACAAAAAAATTTTAACAGGAGGATGGTGGAAAGCAAGCAAGACTCAACCTAACTAGTATTTTACCCTCTGTCATGTTGGAAAGGTAAGCTCCACTGAAGAGAGGAGATGCCAAGCAGTAGTGCTCAAAGCTGCGGACCACAGCCAAAACTTCGTCCTTTCTAAGAGAAGTAGTAGGCAGACACTCGTTGGGTATGTTCAAGGGTGCCGACATCAGTATTTAATCTTGCTCATCCAGGCAGAAGGGGAGATCATTTACTACTGTACTTTGATTTACAAAAATAGCAAGCTGCCACAGAAAAAAAGGCTCCACTATCCAGAACTTGTCATCTGCAGTTCTTTGCCTCCAGGACTACAAACACACACCATTCCCAAAGAATATAAGGGAGCAAAGAAACCCTTACCTGATGGATTAGCTGGGACCACTGCATTGTTCAGACTGAACTGTTCCTGTGCCATTATTTTCCTATTTCTGGTGTTTCATCTAACCATAAAGATTCTTAGGTCTAAGTTATATGCACTTAAGGAGCATGTGCACGAATATGTTTATAAAATTCTGACTGAAGATCCATGGCCATCAGCCAAGCGAGTGTTACACAGCAGATGCAAGCTTTTGTCCCTGTGTCCCTTATGTATCCCCAAGCTCTACACAGGATAATGTCACAAACCACTGCAGCCTGGTGGCTGCTGACATTGTCTGACTTCGGTTGAAAACAACTGCACTTTGGCAGTTGTTTGGGGACAGAGGCCCTCACATCTGTGTGAATGCACACAACGTGGCATTGTTGGTGGTGAGAGGATGGGGAAACAGGAAGACATCTGTTTTTCTCTCTTAGCTGAGAGGTCCAGAGTTCAAGGGTTAGGAACTAGAAAGTGGACCAGGTTATGCCCCGTGGAGTTTTTGTTTAAATGAAGGCCAAAGGTGAAAATGTAAACGTACAAAACAAGTTCAATATTCGACGTAATAAAGACAAGGATAATTGCTGTGAAGAAAATAAGGTAATGCGTGGACAAAGGACTTGGGGTGAGGGATTTCAGATCCCAGAGATAGGAAAAGCCTCATGAAGACAGGACCTTTGGGCCTAAATTCAGCAAGATAAATGGAGGGAAGCTTCAAGTTTCATCAGACTGGACGGCGAAACCCTAGAAGCATCCCGTAACATTCTAGAACAAGAAGGAACCACTGTGATCCCAGTTATTTCCATATGGTTGGGAAATACTAGGCAATGCAGTTAAGAAATATAAGTCAGCTCTAAGTAACAGGAGGAAAAAATACTATGCTTCAGTAAGATCTACTTGGAAAATAAAGAACTAATCAAAAATTTAATTTGCAAAAAATAGCATTACTATATAGTAAGTAAAGTAGAAAAAGATTTATTACAGAAACAACATAGGTAGGATCCATGAAAAAAACTTTAAGGCTTTTCTGGGAAAACAGCATTAAGTAGAAAATGTGTACTCTTTTTTTTGGGGGGGGGTTGAGACAGGGTCTCACGATGTAGTTGAGACCGATCTGGAACACACTGTGTAGCCCAGGCTGGTCTTGAACTCACAGCAATCCTCCTGCCTCAGCCTCCCAAGTGCTGGGATTACAGGCGTGTGCCACCACGCCCGGCTAAAAATTTGTACTCTTGATAGGAAAAAATAAATAGCATAGGGCCAGGGATGAAGCACAGCATAGGCACAGTGCCTGCCTGGCAAGCTCAAGATCCTGAGTTCAATCCCTGGTAACCAACCAAAAAAAAAACAAACAGCATCAAAATCCTCAATATAATCAGTGTAGTTCCGGTAAACTACCAATAAGATATTCTGAGAGGAATTTTATAGAATGATAAAATTTACAGATTATCAGGAAAATTGCTTCTTACAGGGTCCGTGCAAGGTGTTTTAAACCTATGAGAATATAAGGGCTCAGCAGCAGAGCGCTTGCTTTACGCATGGGAAGCCCCAGTCAACCTGCAGTACTGAAAATCAAAAAGATTTTCAAAACAATGTTTTATGCATGACATTTAGTAATACTAGCTAAAATGTACAAACTACAGAGCTGGTAGGTAACAGGATTTCATAGGTACTGGGGAACAACTGAAAATACAAATAAATATGGATTTAGGGTGCAACAAAGAACATTTCAAAGTGTAGAAATAATATTCAAGACCAGGGGAAACTGGCCAATAATTCAGCTGAGCGTGTCTTTGACACGAACGTGCGCCGTGGTCTCTCAGTGGCCCAGGCTTTGACCACGGTCCTGTCCCCTCCCCGACCCACCCAGCAAAAGACAGCAAGGGGCTCCTGGCAAAGCTGACCCTCACCCTGTTGAGGTTTTCCACTTAGGGTTGCTCCCCTTCGCACTGGTGTGTGGCGCAGCTGCTGAGGGGACTCCGTGAGAGGGGGGAAGGGAAGCGGGGAGGAGGGAAGAAGGGAGGAGGAAGAGGGGGAAAGAGAAGGGAGGGGGAGGG